CCCGTTCGAGCCCACCTCCTTCTGCATGGACCTTGTCGCAGCTGCGACCACACCACGTACCTTGCCTCATGGCGAGGAAGAGCAGGCGCGTGCCTGGCTCCATGTCTCGTTTCGCACGAAGTTCAATCTCTTGAGCGGGGTGAACGGGGTCAGGGATCCGAAGCGGCTGGCGAGGAGCGAGGTTGGCCAAGAAGTCACTGGCCTTCTGAGAGCTGAGGAAATCGAGGGTGACCTTTTTCGTCATGTCGAAGGCGCGAATGACTGGTGGGGTCTCTCCCGTCGGTGTCGCAGTGCGGATGAAGAGCTCTGCGGCACGAATGAGGGATGTCTTCATCATCTTGCGCGGGAAGCCAACAATGACAACTCTGTGAGCACGCTCCATCGCTGCAACTCGAGATCCGTCTCGTTGGGTAGGATGCTGGTGGGGAGAGGCGTGCGGTATGGGCTTGTTGAGAGCATCCAACTGCTGCTGTACAGACTCGAACTTGGTAGACACCGCTTGCACCACTGCACCTGCAATCGTCGTAGAGAAGTCTATCTGCTCGATCCTGTGGAGTCTGTCCGCGAGGCCACGTGCGTTAGAATCATGAACGACCAAAGCGGCACGGACATCAGCAATCTCTTGGTGCATGCTCTGTTCCAAACGGGTAACCACGGACGTCGTGTCACGAATGCTGTGTAGAAGGTCCGAGAGCCATACAGGAGCCTCCGAAGGAGGAGTGGTGGAACTCGCTGGTGATCTTGTCCCTCCGAACTTGGATGCAGTCGATGAACTGGCTGCTGAGCGACTTCGACTACTGTGACCGCGCTCGTCGTCACTGGAGCTGTGGTCGCGCTGCCTACGGGCGGACCGCCCTGCAGTCTTCCGTGTCATGGCAGACGGAGGAGGGGCAACTGGGGTAATGCGCGTCGTGCCGTCCCTGGTCGGGAGTCTTTGGAAGCAATCGTGAAGGCCCTGTGCCTCCCAAAGCAGCTCGAGCTCCCCGTCGGCTGCGAGCAAGGTCGAAGCGCCAGGGAAACGTTTCGACCTTGAGCCAAAATGGCTACGGAGGCGTCGGCGTCGTCGTCTTCGTCGTCGTCGACGTCGGCGTCGTCGTCGTCGCCGCCGTCGTCGTCGTCGTCGTCGTCGTCGTCGTCGTCGGCCGTCTTGCTTCTCCGGCCTTCTTTGGGCGCTCTTGGGACGCCCCCGAGGGCTTCAAGACGACCCCGGAGCGATATCTGCGCTCGGTCCCGCATGGGTTTTGCAAACCAAGTTGCGGGTGGATGAGTGGGATGATTGCGCGAGCAGTGGAGTTGACAACTTCAGGTTCGGCAAGTGGATTCTCCTTTCTTAAAAGAGAATAGACTCTACCCCCCCCGGACTTAACGCTTCCCCCTGGGATAATATAATTTCATATATATATATATATATATATATATATATTCTGCTCACTCGTCCATCCTAAATATGATGTCGTACCATCCCAGGCAGGCCGGTTTCCCCCTCCTGAGGTTCCCTTGTAAAAAAAAAAAAAAAAAAACAATGTGCGGTGACATTTTGTGTTCTAACATAGCACTTTTTTCGCGAATCCCTTGCACAAAATGAGACGAAATGCACACGCGCGCGTCGTCGCGCGCGCATGCCGAAATCCTTCAAAAACCTTTGGTGCCGGAAGGATTTCGCAATCGAGTTTCGCAACACGGATTGGCTAAAACAGCTTCCGCGCGAGCTCTTGCGAAATCTTAAGAAAACCATAGGTTTTCTTTTTCAAGATTCTCACAACATGCTACCAAACGGGCTTCGCGCGCGCATGTCGAAATCTGTCGAGCGCCCTTGCGCGTGTGCCGTCGCGAAAACTTTCTTCAAAAAATGAGACGAAGTGCAGACGCGCGCGTCGTCGCGCGCGTACGCCAAAATCCTTCAAAACCAATCGGCTTCGGAAGGATTTCAAAATCGCGCGTCCCAAAAACCTACAACATTCCAAGGTTTTACAACACGGATTTTCAACAAAAGCGTGCGCGCGCGCTCTTGCGTCGTCGTCGTCGTCGTCGCCGTCCTCACTCCTCCCGCGTCGTTGTCGTCGTAGTCGTCACCTACGTTCTCCTCTGCTTCCTCGTGTTTCGTACGTCGTCGTCCTCTTTGGCGTCGTGGTCGTCTTCGTCTCGTTGTCGTCCGAGGTCCGGTACCTTCCTCCTCCTCCTCGTCGTCCGTCGTGTCGCGTCCGTCCGTCGTCGGCGTCTCGTCGTCGTCCCCTTCTATTTCCGTCGCCGTCGTCGACGTCGTCGTCGTCGTTGTCGTCGTCGTCTTCCCTCCTCCCTCGTCGTTGTCGTCGTCGGCGTCGCCGTCCTTCCTCCTTCTTCGTTGTTCGCGTCGTCGCCGTCCTCCCTCCTCCCTCGTCGTTGTCGTCGTTGTCGCCGTTGTCGCCGTCGTCGTCCTCCTTCCTCCCTCGTCGTCGTCTTCGTTGGCGACGTCGTCGTCGTCTTCGTCGTCGTCGTGGGCGTCGGCGTCGTCGTCTTCGTCGTCGTTGTCGGCGTCGTCGTCGTCGCCGCCGTCGTCGTCGTCGTCGTCGTCGTCGTCGGCGTCGTTGACGTCGTCGTCGTCGTCGTCGTCGTCGGCGTCGTCATTGTCGTCGTCGTCGGCGTCGTCATCGTGTTCGTCGTTGTGATCGTCGTCGTCGTCGGCGTCGGCGTCGTCGTCGTCGTCGGTGTCGTCGTCGTCGTTGTCGGCGTCGTCGAAGTCGTTGGAGACGTCGTCGGTGTCGTCGTAGTCGTTGTCGGCGGCGGCGTCGTCGTCGTTGCCGCTGTCGTCGTCGGCGTCGCTGTCGTTGGCAAGTGCCATTTGGTACCCACCATCACGGTCTTAAGAGATTTTGCAAACCAAGTTGCGGGTGGGTGGGTGGGATGTTTGCGCGAGCAGTGGAGTGGTCACGCGCGGTGCAGGGTAGTCAATTGCACCCCATAGGTTGCACCAAATAGATTGTTCCACGCCATGGCACTCAGAAAAATGCACCGCATGCACTACGGAAATTGCACCTCCTAAGCTTTACGACCCATACTGCAACATTTAGAACACAAACAACACCACATACATCGTGCCGCATGTGACCGTGGAAAATATGGCGTATGTACATATGTGTACACATAGATTGCGCGCCATACATAGACTGCAGCTAGTAGATTGATCACCGATGTGGAACAACCTACTTATTTGCGACTGGCTGACTTACACGTGTGTGCGTGCTGAATATGTATGCTAGGCGTTTGTGCGAACATGTGTGTGGGTTGGTTGGCTCCTGGACTTGCCATGATACGTACTCCCTGGCTTCCCACAACGACCGTCGAGATGGCGACTTCTGGCAAGGCGACCGAACTGAAAAACACTCAACACACCAACGGTGGCGCAGAGCCCCGCTATGTGCAGATCCTGGCAGATCCTGGCCCCCGCTACGGTCGCTGCTTCCTCGTTGGTGGCCGCGGCGCTTCTACGCTCCTTAGGCGCCGATGCAACTGCCAGAGCCTTTTCGCCCATGGCCTGACACCATTTGTTTTGGCGGCCCGACGAACATCATGGTGGCCCTTCGGCAGACTCTAAGCCCGCAGTACCAGATGACCCGCTGGCGCAGCTGCGGAGGAAGTCCAACGCCACAGGGACTCTGCTTGTGTTCCGACGGAAGCGACGGTCGACATCGCCATCAATGCGACTTTCACAAACATCTCCGCTCGCTGGGCATCCACGTTGACCTGTTGCCAGCTGAAGCTCGCATCATCACGCAAAGCAATTGCTCAATCGCTGAGCTGCTCCTCCTACGAGCTTGGTCGCACCAACTTCGCTCGGAACGCTTATTTGAACCCTTCCGCAGCAAATGGACTCGGCCGCGTACCGCCACACAGGCTACTCTGAAACATCGAGCGTGCTACTACGACGTTGAGGACTGGTCGACTACCTCTCCATAAAGTCTCTGGGCCCACCGTCCTGACCCGAGAACACTTCCTCCATCTGACAGGGGCCATCACCACGCCCTCAGGCCATTCAAGGGACGTCTGTCTGATTTGGTCAGGCTACATTCTTAATCGCACCTTTTGGGGGGCCTCCCATATCACTGGGATCTGCCCTGGTGAAGCATACGGCACGCTCTGCGCTAAGGGCGCACGATGGCAACTGACGGGACGGCCCCTGCTAATTACCTTCATGACGGGATGGTGTGCGTCTTAGGCTCCACATGTTCAACGGCAGCCATTGCGTCTACAACACCTACGTAGAAATCGAGGAGAACTGACCACGTGTCCTGCATTGTGCAGCCCGTATCAGACATCCGACGTCGCCTGTTCTACAGCTCGGAGATTCCTGTAAACACACATTGCCCAGGAAACCTTGACAACGCGCGTGCTTTTTTATACTATCTCGTACTGCTTACAAGCCAGACAGCATTGAGAAACAACTGCCACACTGTTTCAGACGCTTCCTGGGCCGCCGGAGACACCCCTCAACAGTCAGAGAGTCCCTCAAGCAAGGTGCCACGATGACCTCAACGCACTCAGGTGGTGGGCAGACGCCGCACAGCAGAGCGGGCATGCTTCTGGCCCCGCCCCCCCCAGCCCCTCCTGGGCGAGCCCAGCTGCAAGAGAGGAAGGCTGGGGGAAGGGGAGGGGAGGCAGGAGCAGGGAGGCAACATGGGGGAAGGGCGAAAAGATCATGGAGGAGCTGGCAACGAGGGAGGAGGAAACGCGGAGGGAGCAGGAACAGGAGCAGAAAACTCGAGCAGGGACCAACCGTCCCGGCATGTCTATACGCCTACCACAGAATTTTCTTAGAACCCCAAAAAGCTCCAGGTACAAAAACCGTGTTCTTAGAACATAAACCCGATGCGTTAAAACAAGACAGTCCAAGCCAGAACTGCTCTGAGAACACTTCGTGGAAACCACAAAACAAAAACATCGCACATCCTTCTTTGGTGGGCCCATATGCGAGCCAGGACGCTTCGCCACTGCCGGAAAAACTTCCCCCCCCCCCCCGTCGGAACCCCGTGTAATGCAGCCGCTCGCGGTCCGCCGCCTCTTGGTGCCCGGCGCGCGGCGCGCGCGCGCCCGGCCCCGCCGCCCCCCCGGCGCGCGGCACTGCCCCGCGCGGAGGCTGAGCAGGGACCGAGGCATCCTAGATGGGGTCCGAGTAGAGATGGGGTCGGAGGATCGCGCCAGATCGCCGATGCATCACCGGTGTATCGGTAATGCATCGGCGATGCACCGGCGACGCATCGTCGATGTTGGCGGTGCATCGGCGACGTCGACGTGAAGCAGATCGGGCTCCACATCGAGCCGCATCGGCGATGCATCGGCGATGCGGCGCGATCCTCCGACCCCATCTGTTCCGACCCCAGCTAGGAGGCCTAGAGTCCCGGCAGCATTCCCTCCTTCTTCTCCTCCTCCTCCTCCTCCTCCTTCTCCTCCTTTTCCTCCTTCTCCTCCTTCTCCTCCCTCCATCCCTCTCCGCCTCCGCCTGCTCCTCCTCCTCCTCCTCCTCCTCCTCCTCCCGTCCTCGTCCTCGTCCTCCTCCTCCTCTCCTCCTCATCCTCCTCCTCCTAGGTCTACCACGACATGTTCGCAGAGCCCCCAAAACAATAACAATTAATATAACATTACGTGCAAACCACAAAAGGCTCTCAGAACATCTTTGGTGGGCACATAGGCAAGCAAGAGGACGCTTCGCCACTGCTCGAGGAGGGGGGGAGGGCCCTGACCTTCCAGGAACGCTACTTAAAACAGCTGTCCAGTGCCCAGGTGCCCCCCAGATTCCGGTCGAGGTTGGAACCAGTCCAGAAAGGCCTCTGCGGGTCTGGAGCGCTACCTTCTTCGCCCCCTGGAAGGTCAAATGGGGTCGGGGATCTTTTGACCCGGGTCAACCCAGACCTGGGTCAGTCAGGCTTTGCAGAATCCTGTAAGATCATGCACCCAAGCCCGGGTCACTGCGAACGCTCCTTCAAGATCCTGCAGGATCCTGCACCCAAGCCCGGGCCAGCGCGACCCGTGCCCTGCAGGATCCTGCAAGATCGGGCGCTCTGGCGGACCTCCGAAAGTTTGTGTGCTCATGCCCCTCGGGGGGGGGGAGGAGGAAGAGGAGGAAAAGGAAGACCAGAGGGAGGGGGAGGGGGAGGCGGAGGATGAGGAGGAGGCGGAGGCGGAGGAGGAGGAGGAGGAGGAGGAGGAGGAGGTGGCGCGTGGGGCGGGAGGAGCGGGCGGGTCGGCGCCTCTGCACCGCCATCGCGTCGGGACCCCCCCATGCATACCCTGACCCTCCAGGAAGTGCCGAAAAGTAGTGGGCGTTTTCATCTTCGGCGACGGCTTCCTCGGCCCACATGGGGAATATTTCCTTCGCCGTCTCCTGCTTCCTTCGGCCTCAATCCCCTTCCTCCTCCTCCTCCTCCTCCTCCTCCTCCTCCTCCTCCTCCTCCTCGTACTCGTCGTCGTCGTCGTCTTCAGGGTTGGCGGGCGGCACCGGCCGTAACGCTTTAGCAATAGTGAGCGTTTTCTACTCCGGCGTTTCGACACTGAGCGAAGATGCGGTTTGGGGGGGGGGCGGTCTGGCTCCGGACCTCTGCTCAGCGCGACTGTTTGCGACAGGGCGTCCCATGAGGGGAGACTCCGCCTGCGGCCAAGATCTACTCCAGAGGGGGGGGGCAAGGGCCCGCGCCGATCGGCGGCGAAACGATCACAAATAGCACCTCAGACTCATGGAGCTATCTGAACCTCGAGTCGAATGTGCGCACCCTGGTCCAAAAGCTATATTTTAGTCCTCGTGGGAGGTCAAGGTAGACAACCGCGCTCCACTGCTTACACGAGAACTGCTCGCAAATGGCCTGGACCCGCCGCGGGGAATGCACGATCCCCTACACGGGTCGGGGATCGGCTCTCCCGGGGCCCGGGGTCCACTTGGCTTCCGACCCGCGAACGGCATAGACCCAGCTCTCCTCTGGAATCGCATTGCCAAAAGACTCGACAACGTAGCATGAGTCCTTGAGCACTGTCTTCGGGAATCTTTCCGTCGATCTGGGCAGCACCTCGAAGGACACTGTCGCCTGGGGCACGTTTTCCTGCTCAGCCATCTGGGTGCACTGAAGCTGAAACAAGGCCACGGCATGGACTACCAACTGCTCCTGGTGTTCGAACCATTTGGCAACCTTGACCTTTCTCTCCCAGGCTTGCGCAGTTGGACCACGGGCCTTATCGAGCAGGGACTGAACCTATCTCACCTCCCAGCTCGGGAGCCAAGGCGCCTCTCGCCTCTGAGGAGCTCCGCTGCCTCGGCGCAAGCAGCGAGGGCCTCGACCTCGAGATCCAGGGGCCCTCGAGACCATGGCCCTCAAGGCCTCGCCAGGAATGCACCTCGGGTCCGCGTGGGAGATGGCAGAAGCAGCCTGGGAGAAAGCAGGCGCCTTCAGCTCTGCGTCGTCCACGGCAGCAGCCAGCTCCGTGGTGCAAGCTCCCGTCTCCTCCGCTGCCGAACGCTTGACCTCGGGCGTTGCTGGCACTGGGTCGATGACAGCATCAGCAGCAGGCAAAGTTGCCTCCGAGCATTTGGCCGTTGCCTTGAATCCACGGGAACCACGGCTCAGCGGAGGATCTGAGCCCTGTGGACAGCGTCCATCGGCCTGGAGCCTCCGGTAAGGCCGCCCCAGCGACGGAGCCGCCAGCGCTGTAATGAGCTCGCGCTCGCGGCGTTTTGCCAGCACTGCTCTGGCGGACAGCAGCAGCAGCGCCATCACGTCGAGCTCGCCGATCAAAAGCCTCGTGCCCGTCATCACCGCCGCCGTGAGCGCCACCATCGTCATGACCGCGATGCAGAGGATCCGGGGGCTCCCCGCCAGCAAGTGGCGCCAGCCAGATGCAGATCTCGGACTTCTGCGTGCTGGTGTGCCGATGCCCTCGATCGACCGTCTCGCACATGGGAGCTATATTCATCAAGGCAAGGACCTGCTCGATGATGGAAACCTGCGCGTGGGCAGACATGGGCGGAGCCGCATGGTCCACAATGAGCATCCACTTGACTTTGCCATCTGAGGCCGCTGTCCATACCGAGAAGAAGATCGGTTGATGGGCAACAGCCTGCGCCATGAGCCATTCTAGCCGCCCCAGAACCACCATGGCAGGGCGCGCGGGGGCAGCGGGGAGGGGGAAACGCAAGTGCGCTGAAAAAGCGCAGCGGCCAGCAAATACTCGATCCCAGGGCTCTCCTCCTCCTCCTCCTCCTCCTCCTCCTCCTCCTCCTCCTCCTCATCATCATCATCACATCATCAAGCATCATCATCATCATCAGCATAATCATCATCATCATCATCATCACAGCAATCATCATCATCATCATCATCATCATCATCATCATCATCATCATCATCATCATCATCAGATCATCATCATCATCATCATCATCATCATCATCTTCTGCTGCTTCGGCCTGCCCCCCTCCTCCTCCCCCCACACCCGGCATTTCTGCGGAACGCCCCGCCTTCTGGGGCCTGGTCGCGTCCGCGCGCGGGCGAACCGCGTCCACTGACAGCTCCGAGCTTCCTGCGTGGGCGGGGCGCCCTCGAGCTCACTTTGAGGCCTCCAGTACCCAGCGGGGGTGGAATGAGGCAGATGAGGAGGAGGAGTAGGAGGCTCTGAGGAAGAGTAGGAGTAGGGGAAAGACGAAAGTGATGAAAGCTCGAGGAAGAGGAGTGAGGAGGAGGAGAGTAGCGAGGTAGAGGAAAAATAGAGGAGAGGATCACGCGGAGGAGAAAGAGAGGAGGAGGAGGAGTAGTATGAGGAGGCGGAGAGGAGGAGGAGGAGGAGGGCGGAATGATGAGAAGGAGGAGAGGAATGGGAGGAGGAAAGGAAAGAGGAGGAGAGAGGAGGTGGAGGGCGCAAGGGGGTAGGGGTAGGAGGAGGAAGTAGATGACGACGAACTTAGGAGGACGAGGAGGAGGAGGAGGACGAGGAGGAGGAAGACGAGGACGAGGAGGAGGAGGAGGTGGAGGAGGAGGAGGAGGAGGAGGAAGAGGAGGAGGAGGAGCGGGGTGGTCGCTCGACGGCTCTCGGCTGCCGAAGGCCGCGTGCCTCGGCCAGAGCAGGGCGCGTCCTCTGCAGGGCCCCGGGCGCCGCGGCCGTGCTGCGGGGAAGGCTCGCGGGCGGCCCGCGGCCCAATCGCGCGCCGGTGGTCCGCCACGGGGGCTGCAACTTCGGCGCCGCTTGGCCGGCAGGCGTCGCCAGACGGCCAAGGCCAGACGGGGCTATGGCGAGGATCAATGTGTTCCTCTAGGCCTCCTCGATGGAGTCGGAGTAGATGGGGTTGGAGGAACGCGCCACATCGCCGATGCATCGCCGATGCAGCTCGATGTGGAGCCCGACTTTCTCCCCGCCGCCCCCCGCCCGGGGTCTCCCGCTCCATCCCCAGCAGCCACGCCCCCGAACCGCATGGAGCCAAGAGGGCTGCAGGAAGGAGGGGGCAGGAGGGAGGAAGGAGGGAAGGAGGACGAGGAGGAGATCACCGAGAGCGTTCAAATGCTCGCAAAGTGCCTACTCGCAAACGTCTGCAGAACATACGCGTTTGCATCGATGTAGTCTAACTATCGGGAATCCCACGCGGCGGATCCTGGCCATTTGGGAGTGATCCTCTTGCGCGTACGGGAGCGCGCTTGTCCAGAGGAGGGAAGGAGGAAGGCGGAGGAGCAAAGCCTGCCTCCTGCCGGATGCCTCGCGCGCCGCGGCCTTCTCATAGCGTTCCAGCACGCTCTGAGAGCGTTCTGGGGCGCTCTGGAACAGATTGATCCTCGTCCTAGCTAGAGGCCTCCTAAATGGGGGCGGAGTAGATGGGGTCGGAGGATCGCGCCGCATCGCCGATGCATCGGCGATGCATCGGGCGACGTCGGCGTGGAGAGAAAGTCGGGCTCCACATCGAGCTGCATCGGCGATGCATCGGCGATGCGGCGCGTTCCTCCGACCCCATCTACTCCGACTCCATCGAGGAGGCCTAGAGGAACACATTGATCCTCGCCATAGCCCCGTCTGGCCTTGGCCGTCTGGCGACGCCTGCCGGCCAAGCGGCGCCGAAGTTGCAGCCCCCGTGGCGGACCACCGGCGCGCGATTGGGCCGCGGGCCGCCCGCGAGCCTTCCCCGCAGCACGGCCGCGGCGCCCGGGGCCCTGCAGAGGACGCGCCCTGCGCGACGCGCCCTGCTCTGGCCGAGGCACTCGGCCCTTCGGCAGCCAAGCGTCGTAGCGACCACCCCGCTCCCTCCTCCTCCTCCTCCTCCTCCTCCTCCCTCCTCCACCTCCTCCTCCTCCTCCTCCTCCTCCCGTCCTCGTCGTCCTCATCCCTGTCCTCCTCCTCCTCCCTCGTCCTCCTCCTCCTCCTCCTGCGTCCTCTCCTCCTGCTCCTCCCTTGCGCTCCTCCTCCTCCTCCTCCTCCTCCTCCCCTCCCTCTTCCGCTTCCTTTCCTCCTCCTCCTCCTCTCCTCCTCTCCTCTCATCATTCCTCCCTCCTCCTCCTCCTCCTCCTCCTCCGCCTCCTCCTCCCCCTCCTCATCCTCCTCCTCCTCCTCCTCCTCCTCTTCTCCTCCGCGATGCCTCCTCCTCCTTTTCCTCTTCCGCCTCCTCCTCCTCCTCTTCCTCGAGCCGCCTCCTTCCTTTTTCGTCTTCCTCCTCTCCTCCTCCTCTTCCTCGAGCCTCCTCCTCCTCCTCCTCCTCCTCCTCCTCCTCCTCCTCCTCCTCCTCCTCCTAGGTCAGGGAGCGACCACCCTGCCCATCCTGGCCGCGCGGGTCCTGGGGCCCACGCGATCCGTGCGCGCCCCCCCTGGCCATGCCAGGAGAGCAATGCAGCCTGCTCCCGAGTCCCGGAGGGTCCTGGCCAGGATCGGCGGAGGGGTGGCTACTGCCCTGACCTTCCAGGAGGGCCAACAAAAACAGCACCTGGACCTAGATGCCCAAATCCCAGTCGAGGCTCTAAGGAGCCCAGAGGAGTCCAGCTAGGGCTTTAGGCTTGGAGTGCTATTTTTCAGCACTCTGGAAAGTCAGGGTGATCGGTGCCAGCTGCAGGCGAAGACGACGAGGAGCACGAGGAGGGTGAGACTCCCTCTCGGGCCGGGCCCTCCTCCTCCCCGAAGCTCCCCGGAGAGCAGCAGGCGGCCCACGCGTCGGAGCCGTCCCCCGGAGAGCAGCAGGCGCGGCAGGGGGCGACGGGCAGCAGGCAGCGGTGCGGTGGCGCAGTGGCAGCATGGGCCGTGGCCTGGAGCCTCCAACACGCGTGCGCCGCTGGCATCCCGGTGCGGCTCGCGCTCCGCCGAGACGCGCGCGAACCGGAGCGGAGCGGGGCGAGCCGCAGGACGACCCAGAAGCGGGAGCGGCGGCACGGACGGGCGCCGCCGGCGCCCCGCGGAGCCCGACCCCCCGCTGCGCCGACTCCGTGGTCTGGCGGGGACATCGGCGGGGTGAGGCGCAATCCACCCGTCCACGAAGGACGCACACGATAAGGGTGCCGGGGGCCTTGGAGGGCCGTGCCAGCACTCTGCGGGCGGGGTGCGGCCAGCGGAAGAAGCGGCCGAGGGTGGGCTGAAGGGGGAGGATGCAGAGGCAGCCTTGGAACGTGGCCCATACTCGCTGTGCGGGTTGACTGCACTGAGCCTGACCTTCCAGGAGGGCTAACAAAATAGCACCTGGACCTATAGTAGATACCCAGACTCCAGTCGAGGTCTTGAGCAGCCCAGATAGGTCTGCAGGTCCGGAGAGCTATGTCTTAGCAATCTGGAAGGTGAGGGGATGCGAGGGCGATGGGGGGGGCACTGGTCCAGGGGGCAACGTTGACTTGGGCTCGGTGGCACGGTCGCCGATCGATCAGCGATGGGGCTCTCGAGAGCACTCTGATGGGCCAATCTTCCACCACCACTTCCACAGGTCGGGCGGGGGAGAAGCGGGGGATAGGGAGGTCCTCCTCCTCCTCCTCTTCCTCCTCCTCCTCCTCCTCCCCATCCTCCTCCTCCTCCCCCTCCTCTTCCTCCTCCTCCTCCTCCTCCTCCTCCTCCTCCTCCTCCTCCTCCACCGCCCCCGGGCGGGCAGCCGGTTGGTGTGGGCGGCACCTCTCGGCGTCTGGGGGAACTGAAACCCGCTTAGTCGTGGCCTGTACGGGGGCTGCGCTACTGCCGTGGGTGGGTGGGTGGTTTTGGCAGTGGGGGCACCGACCCCGGTATTCGGGCGTAAACGGTAAACCCGTTTCGGCTACGGCCGGTACGGGTCCCCTCCACTGTATTGGCCCGGCGACTCCCCGGTCGCGCCAGGGTGTGGAGGGGGGGTCTGGCTTCGGCCAGGCTCATGGGGAGTCCTGCTCTGTCCCCCTTGGGCAAGGGGACAGGGGGGAGCAGGCCAGGGCACCCGCCCCGAGACTCGCACCAGGTGCCCCGCCTGGTGGCGAGGGGTGTCCTGTGTCCCCGGCCAGTGCCTGGAGTGCCTGGCGGGTGGCAGGGGGGCGCCCTCCCCTCGGGGGGCCCGGTCCTGGAGGTGTTGGACGTGTACGTGCACCTCTGAGGTGCACTATGTCTCTCCCAGCACACTGCATATGCCCTGGCAGTGTGGGGTTTTCGTGTTTTCCAAACTCGCTTCGCGACCGTTCTCATCTCACCTCCTCCTCCTCCACCTCCTCCCCCTCGTCCCCCTCCCCCTACCCCTCCCCCTCCCCCCCCCTCCCCCTCCTCCCCCTCCTCCCCCTCCTCCCCCTCCTCTCCCTCCTCCCCCTCCTCCCTCCTCTCCACTCCCCTCCTCCCCCCCCTTCCAACCCCCCTCCCACCCCCCATTCTCCTCCCCCTCCTCCTTCTCCTCCTCCTCCTCCGCCTCCTCCTCTTCCTTCCTCCTCCTCCTCCTCCTCCTCCTCCTCCTCCTCCTCCTCCTCCTCCTCTTAGCCGCTTCCCCGCAGGCGTGGGCCTGGGGCGCCGCGCTCGCAATTGGAAGCGGCGCTGCGCGCGGGAGCGGATGGTGGTCGCCTGATGCTCCTTCGGCTCCTCCTGCGCGCGCAGCAGGCGCTCGCGGGCCTGGCGCAGCGCTTCACGCAGGAGGTTAAGGACTTAAGGACATCGACGATCTGGAGGTCAAGGTGATGCTAAGCTATGGGGACGAGGGCCCCAACCACACCGCCGAAGAAGAGATGAACCTCATGGCTGATGGCGCCGTTGCCGGAGGCGATGCCCATCAAGCAGGCCATCTTCCCCGTCCTCACAGAGGTGGTCCAGGAGCCGCCGCCGGGGTACTGGGGGGAGCCGCAGGCGCCGCAGGTGTGGCGCAGGTGATCCTGACGGAGGAGAAAGTGACTCGGCAGCAGGAGGTGCGCGAGCTGGACGCGTAGCATCACAGTCTGCAGCGGTCGCAGCCGATGATGACGGAGGGGCCGACCGAGGACAGGAGGCGCTGGGATCTCGGAGGAGTGAGAGGACAGCTTCGACAAGCTCGGACGTCAGCAAGAACCACATTAAGAACAATAAGGACAGTGAATCCAAACATAACAAGAAGGGCAATAAGGTCAAGGAGGCATCGCCGCAGCCGCAGGAACGGGAGCAAAGGGTCAGAGAACCAGCTTCGCGGTTTCCGTCAGCACCGTGGGCGCGGTAGCAGGTGACAGCTGCGATCATAGCGAGCTGAAGGTGAAGTTCCTGGTCAATCCTGTGGACGAACGTGGCCAAGGGTGTGGCACGGAGTTCTACAGCATTGGCGGGGACAGCGACGCAGACAAGAGCATCGCGGCCAGCATCGAGCACTCGAACGAGGCGCTCGCGGAGGCCGTGCCTGCAGATGCGACGGGCAAGAAGTGGGGGGAGCTCAAGATCAGCGACATGATCACGATCATCAAAGGCCACCCTGGCAATGTGATCAACATTACGGCAGCGAAGAAGGGGAAGGGCGGCCCCAGCAAGCTCAAGGTCGAGGGGCTGGACGTCCACACGTCGCTGCAGTACGAGGACGTCAAGGCGGCGAACTTCGTGGCCAGCCTCCCCCGGGAGACGGGGATGGACATCGTGAGTGGGCGGAACGTGGAGTACAGCTCGCTTGACAGCGAGATGCCGGTGGCGCAACTTGGCAGGTGCGCAGCGCAGCTCCAGAAGCTTGGCCTGCTGGACGACGACGCGTTCGAGAAGGTCCGCAGCTTCACGAAGCAGGCCGTCAGCACGGATCGGCAGCAGAAGAAGGACGAGAGTGAGGCCCAACCTGGAGGTCGCCTGGTCGACACGCATACGCAGCAGCCGAAGCAAGTTACAAATATGGAGGACCAGTCCTCGAGTTCAGCGAATTGGAGCTGGACCAGTTCGAGGCCTCGTTGAACCTCAAGGTTGAACACTCTACAGGCTCGGGCTTGTCGAAGACTCCAGGCCTGAGCGGCCACAGGGTGAGAGGCATCCCCCGATGTCCTCTGGGCTCCTGGGGTGGGCTGCTGGCCCTCGGTTTTGGTGGGGCCTTTTCAGCCTCGCTGGTTTTGGTGGGCGGGCCTCTTGGCCCGCTGCGGCCCTTTTGGGCTGCCGCTCAATGGGACCTTGGAGACCTCTCGCCCTGGGCTCGGAGCGGCGCGCGGACGGCGCGGGCGCGCCAGCGGTGGCGGCGGCAGGACAGCCGCTCTTCGCCGAGCGCGAGGGGGACGACTGACCTCCAAGTAGTCACACTCACAGCCTCCTCCTCTGTCGTCGTCCTCCTCCTCCTCCAGCTAAAGCTCCTCCTCCTCCACCTCCTCATCCTCCTCCTCCTCGTCCTCGTCCTCCTCCTCCTCCTCCTCCTCCTCCTCCAACTCCTCCTCCTCCTCCTCCTCCTCCTCCTCCTCCTCCTCCTCCTCCCTCCTCTCCTCCTCCTCCTCCTCCTCCTCATCCTCCTCCTCCCCTCCTCCTCCTCCTCCTCCTCCTCCTCCTCCCCCCCCCCTCCTCCTCCCTCCTCCCTCCTCCCTCCTTCTCCTCCTCCTCCTCCCTCCTCCCTCCTCCTTCTGCCTCATCCGTCCTCCGTCCTCCGTCCTCCCTCCTCCCTCCTTCGCCTCCTCCTCCTCCTGCTCCTCCTCCTCCGCCTCTTCTTCCTCCTCCTCCTCTTCCCTTGCCTCCTCCGCCTCCTCCACCTCCTCCTCCTCCTTCTCCCCCTCCTCCTCCTCCTCCGTCTCCTCCGCCTGCTCCGCCTTCTCCGCCTCCTCCGCCTCCTCATCCTCCTCCGCCTCCTCTGCCTCCTCCGCCTCCTCATCCTCCTTCTCTTCCTCTTCATCTTCCTCCTCCTCTTCTCCTCCTCCTCTTCTTAGTGGCCTTCTGATTGTCCTTCTTCGTCTTATGCTTAGTATCCTGCTTTTCGTAGTATTAGTTGTTGTTTTCGTCGAATTATTCGTCTTAGTATGCTTCGTGTTCTTCTTATAATGCTTCTTATTCCTCCTCCCTCCTCGTCGCACCGCGGGGCCAGTCTTCAGGGCGGTCTGGGCGTTTCGCCTAAGACTTCCTCAGCATGAATGACTCTGAAGCTGAAACATTGGCAACAGCATCACATACAGAGGGCGGTTCGTTTTCAACATGTGGTTCTCGCCTTAGCGCGGCTCACATTCTTTTTAAACAGATGCAAGCGTTTCACGGGTGAGGGCGGGTTGTTTTCAAAATGCGGCCCGATGTGTTAAAACAAGACAGCCCCAGCCAGAAATGTTCTAAGAACCTTTCGTGGAAACCAAAAAAGGTTCTTAGAACATTCTTTGGTAGGCCTACAGGCACGCCAGGACGCTTCGCCACTGCTTGACTTCCCGCCTGCACCCCTCCACTCCGGCCCCCCCGCCCCTGCCCCCCCCCAATTCTCGCCATCCCTCGACGACCCAGTGCTCGAGAATCGCAGAGAACCGAGGGAGCCGAGGCATCGACACGGAGGCTCCTGGCGGTTCCAGACACAAAACGACCCGCACTACCCTCTGGCTCTGAAACTCTGTTTGCGATGTAGACTTCGCTGCGCTCTTCTGCAAAGGCTTTGGTCATTTGACTGACCGATTATCGCGATCGCTCGCTCGCTGACCGGCTGCAGGGTCGAAAAGGAACTGACTCGAAATTCCTACATCAAAATTATCCCGGCAAAGCAACCTAACATCGATGTGTAGGAGCATATCTGGAAGCATTCCCCTTAAGATTCGGATGAGAATCCAGTTGTAGAATTCTGCTGTTCTCGCAGTCGTAGTCGCATTCGCGATGACAGTCGCAGTGGCAACGGCAGTCGCAGTCACAGCCTCAGCCTCAGCCTGCCTCAGCCTCAGCCTCAGCCTGCCTCAGCCTCAGCCTGCCTCAGCCTCAGCCTCAGCCTGCTTCAGCCTCAGCATCAGTCTGCCTTCAGCCTCGGCCTCAGCCTCAGCCTGCCTCAGCCTCAGCCTGCATCAGCCTCAGCCTCAGCCTCAGCCTGCCTCAGCATCAGCCTGCCTCAGCCTCAGCCTCAGCCTGCCTCTGCCTCAGCCTCAGCCTGCTTCAGCCTCAGCCCTCCTCATCTCAGCCTGCATCAGCCTCACCTCACCTCAGCCTGCTCAGCATCAGCCTGCCTCAGCCTGACCTCACCTCAGCCTGCCTCAGCCTCGCCTAGCTGCTTCGCCTCAGCCTCGGCTGCCTGCAGCCTGGGCTCGCTCAGCCTGCCTCAGCCTCAGCCTGCCTCAGCCTCAGCCTCAGCCTGCCTCAGCCTCAGCCTCAGCCTGCTTCAGCCTCAGCCTCAGTCTGCCTTCAGCCTCCGCCTCAGCCTCAGCCTGCCGCAGCCTCAGCCTGCATCAGCCTCAGCCTAGCCTCAGCCTGCCTCAGCCTCAGCCTGCATCAGCCTCAGCCTCAGCCTGCCTCAGCCTCAGCCTCAGCCTGCTTCAGCCTCAGCCTCAGTCTGCCTTCAGCCTCGGCCTCAGCCTCAGCCTGCCTCAGCCTCAGCCTGCATCAGCCTCAGCCTCAGCCTCAGCCTCAGCCTGCCTCAGCATCAGCCTGCCTCAGCCTCAGCCTCAGCCTGCCTCAGCCTCAGCCTCAGCCTGCTTCAGCCTCAGCCTCAGTCTGCCTTCAGCCTCGGCCTCAGCCTCAGCCTGCCTCAGCCTCAGCCTGCATCAGCCTCAGCCTCAGCCTCAGCCTGCCTCAGCATCAGCCTGCCTCAGCCTCAGCCTCAGCCTGCCTCAGCCTCAGCCTCAGCCTGCTTCAGCCTCAGCCTCAGTCTGCCTTCAGCCTCGGCCTCAGCCTCAGCCTGCCTCAGCCTCAGCCTGCATCAGCCTCAGCCTCAGCCTCAGCCTGCCTCAGCATCAGCCTGCCTCAGCCTCAGCCTCAGCCTGCCTCAGCCTCAGCCTCAGCCTGCTTCAGCCTCAGCCTCAGTCTGCCTTCAGCCTCGGCCTCAGCCTCAGCCTGCCTCAGCCTCAGCCTGCATCAGCCTCAGCCTCAGCCTCAGCCTGCCTCAGCATCAGCCTGCCTCAGCCTCAGCCTGCCTCAGCCTCAGCCTCAGCCTCAGCCTCAGCCTCAGCCTTCAGCCAAAGCCTCAGTCTGCCTTCAGCCTCGGCCTCAGCCTCAGCCTGCCTCAGCCTCAGCCTGCATCAGCCTCAGCCTCAGCCTCAGCCTGCCTCAGCATCAGCCTGCCTCAGCCTCAGCCTGCCTCTGCCTCAGCCTCAGCCTCAGCTGCTCAGCCTCAGCCTCAGTCTGCCTTCAGCCTCGGCCTCAGCCTCAGCCTGCCTCAGCCTCAGCCTGCCTCAGCCTCAGCCTGCCTCAGCATTCAAAATGTGGCCCGGGAATGGAATTCTGGGAACTCGAAGAACACGAAGTGGCCTACAGTTGGCTCCGGGCATTCAAAATCATGCCCAGGAATGGTTCTGGGAACGCGCCGAAGAACACGAAGTGGCCTACAGTTGGTTCCGGGCATCCAAAATGTGGCCCGGGAATGGAGTTCTGGGAAATAGAAGAGCACGAAGTGGCCTACAGTTGGCTCCGGGCATTCAAAATGTGGCCCGGGAATGGAGTTCTGGGAAATAGAAGAGCCGAAGTGGCCTACAGTTGCTCCGGGCTCCAGAACGTGGCCCGGGAATGGAGTTCTGGGAAATCGAAGAGCACGAAGTGTGTGACTGTTGCATCCGGCCCTCCAGAATGTGCCCGGGAATGGCGTTCTGGGATCTCGAAGAGCACGAAGTGTGTGACTGTTGCATCCGGGTATTGAGAATGTGGCCTGGGAATGGAGTTCTGGGAAGTCGAAGAGCACGAAGTGTGTGACTGTTGGTGAAAAACGAGCCCGGCACCTGCCGCCCGGCAACTCCCAACACCTGCCCGGACCCCCCTGTGGAGTGATCTGCTGCTCTCTTTTGATCCCACTAGAAACCTATCAGTCTTCGCTGTTAGGTAATGTGCGCGATTGTATCCAACACGCTGGATCCGCGATGCTGGAAAGCGAGTGCTTGCCTCCTTATACTCCTTCCGCTCCCTATCCATTTCCCTCTCCATCACAAGTCCTCCTCGACCTGCTCATGCTCCTCTCCTCTTCTTGGGGTGCAGAGCTGGCGAAGCGATGCCCCGCGCCAGGATTGCCTTGTCACCCCGACGCCGCACCATGCGAAAGCCCCACTGCAACCGGACGTGGAGCCCGGTTGATGCAGGCAGGCGTCTGCGCAGAACTTGCGAGGCACTTCAGCACCAGACTGCTGCACTGGCACGGGTGGTGTCCTTCGACTGTGCTCGGAACCTGCTGGTTGCGTTCCCCGTGCCTGCGCCTCGGGGTCCTGGGCAAACTGCTTCGTGCCACCGGTTTCGGTGTTGCGCGATGGGCGCGGCTTGTACTGCACAGGCAGATCAGGACTACCGCCTAACACTTTCTGCATCTCCCCCCAATTGCGTTTTGGCTCGGCCTCCCCCTCTCTCTGTCTGCCTGGCTCCTCTCGCTTCTCTCCCTCGCTCCGTGTACATGTAAGATACACATGCGGTGGAATTGGACGGCGCACTGTTCCCCACTGCCGGACATGTCTCCCCCGCTCAGCGGATCAAGCGAGCGGGAAGATGTATAAGGGAGTTTCCAGGACTCAATACAGATCGTACCTACTAGATTGATCGCTTAAGCCATTGGAACCAATGCACGTTTAACAGAATGCCCCTCTGACAATTCACAAGTCGGGTCGAGGCCCCCCATCGATTTAGCGGCGCGTGGCCTCCCATGGTTCATAACTTGCCAATTCGTGCTCCGTGAGCCGTGGCCTCGTAGCCCCTGGCCAATCTTCACCCTCTCACAACATCACGCAAGCCATCGTGAAAGAGTCATTTGAGCAACGAAGCACACCCTCCGACAAGCCACGCGCATCTGACACATCAGCAGATACTGCGACACATCGCATTGCCATGAAACTCGCGAGACACAGCTGGAACAAGAAGGAAGGTTAAAGAGGACGCGGAGGACGACGAGGAATCTACCCCGTTGAGTAAGAGTCTATGGTTGGCTGCCCAGGAACATCCCTTCAGTATGAGATCTCAGGGGTGCATTCCCTAATCGAGCCACAGAGTGAACAAATGCGCATGGCATGTGATAGCACTTACACCTACGTATGAGGCATGCATGGCTGTCGTATGGTGTTATGTCCCATCCCCTCCTCTTCTGAGCAAGGGCAACCGCCATCAGCTGTGCTCTCCAGACACGAACAAGATGTCGCAACAACCTGACGAGCGAATAGGAATGGCACCACCGAATTACCACCACTTCGACATACCAACTCAAATAAGACAATCCGATACCTATCTTCGAGAGAACGAGTTTCGAGGACGCTTGCCTGGAAACAACTACTTTGTTGGAGCCGCCCCCCCCACCCCAAAACATTGAGCGCCGCCCCTGGATAACCGCGCCACCCCCTCCCCTGCGCACACCCCCAACCAGGGGAGGGGTGCGAACCATGGCCCCCCCCCTGTCCAAGGGAGGGATGTGTTCGAACCTGGAGGGGGAGTCCCGCCCCCCGCTGAGTTGCAAAGGGGGGGGGTTCGAACCAGAGCCCCCCCCTGTCCGAAAGGGAGGGGGAGGCGAACCAGGGGGGTGCCCCCCCCTGTGTTGGAGGGGGGCGAACCTGGGAGAGGGGGCCCCTCCTTGAGTTGCATGCGGGGAGTCGAACTGGGCCCTCCTCCACCCCCCCTGTGCGCGTCGTCGTCGTCGTCGCCAGTCGCCGTCGCCGTCGTCGTCGTCGTCGTCGTCATCGTCGTCGTCGTCGCCAGTCGCCGTCACCGTCGTCGTCGTCGTCGTCGTCGTCGTCGTCGTCGTCGTCGTCGTCGTCGCCAGTCGCCGTCACCGTCGTCGTCGTCGTCGTCGTCATCGTCGTCGTCGTCGCCAGCGCCGTCGCCGTCGCCGTTGCCGTCGCCGTCGCCGTCGCCGTCGCCGTCATCGTCGCCGTCGCCGTCGCCGTCGCCGTCGCCGTCGCCGTCGTCGTCGTCGTCGTCGTCGTCGTCGTCGTCGTCGTCATTCGCCGGTGGACAATCATCGTCGTCGTCGTCGTCGTCGCCGGTCGCCGGTCGCCGGTCGCCTGTGGCCGTCGCCTCCGACGCCGCCGTCGTCGCTGACGTCGCAGAATTATATGTTGTCTCGCAAGGGTTCCCGGCTCGGCCTGAAGGCTTACGCACAGTCATGCAACAGATGTATGCGAACCCTGCCCCTCCCCCTCAGAAATCGTGGGGGGCAGGGTAGTAGGGCTCGCATGTGGCCCCCCAAGATGTCCCACGTTACCTCTGGGGCATCGCCCTGACGAGCGATTCGAGCCCAAGCTCAACAGGGAGCCACCGAGAGAGTCTGAACAGTTACTCAGAAGGACACGCATGACGTAAGAACGTACGTTATGTCGCACTGTGTAATCCCACCAGCCCTTTGGGCGTGAGTGGTTTAGAGAGCCCGCTCTGTCCTCAACCCCCCTTCTTCCCCTTCGGGGAGGGGTTTACCCCTCCCCCTACCCCCTCCCCCTGGGCCTGGAGAGGGACCCCGGGGCGTCGCCAGGGGGGTCATTTTCGACTCCTGGGAGGGCTAAAAAACGACGACCCTCACGAGGATTCTGGCCCCGACGGGGGGGCCGAGTTTGGCCCCTCTGCTCTTCTTTGAAGCCAAAATCATTGATTTTACTACGGTTTTGGCCCCATTTTGGCCTCCTGAGGCGGCCGCGCTCATCTTCCTTCATAGCAAAATCATTGATTTTACGAAGGTTTTGGCCTCATTTTGTCCTTCTCAGGGGCCAGCGCTCCTTTGCGCTTCTGAGGAGGTCGCAAGAGGCCCCAAGATGGCCCCAAGAGGCCCCCAGGAGGCTCCCAAGAGGCCTCCAAGAGGCCCCCAAGAGGCCCCCAAGAGGCCCCAAGAGGCCCCCAAGAGGCCCCCAAGAGGCCCCCAAGAGGCCCCAAGAGGCCCCCCCCCAAGAGGCCCCCAAGAGGCCCCCAAGAGGCCCCCAAGAGGCCCCGAGAGGCTCCAAGAGGCCCCCAAGAGGCCCCACGAGGAGCCCGAACGACTCACACCAGGACGAGGGGCCCGAACGACTCACACCACGAAGAGCCCGAACGACTCACACCACAAGGAGGGGCCCGAACGACTCACACCAGGACGAGGCGCCCGAACGACTCACACCACGAGGAGCCCGAACGACTCACACCACGACGCGGGCCCCGAACGACTCACACCACGAGGAGCCCGAACGAGTCACACCAGGAGGAGGGGCCCGAACGACTCACACCAGGATGAGGGGCCCGAACAACTCACACCACGAGAAGCCCGAACGACTCACACCAGGACGAAGAGCCCGAACGACTCACACCACGAAGAGCCCGAACGACTCACACCAGGAAGAAGGGCCCGAACAACTCACACCAGGACGAGAAACCCCAAACGACTCAAATCACGAGGAGCGCTTTCTCTCCCTCCTCCGCCGCCTCGTCCTTCTCCCGCTCCCCCTACACGGAGGATGTACAAGGAGGCGGGAGGAAGGAGGAACAGGGGACATATGCGGGGCCAAGCGGACACACGACTGAAAAACACGACTGTCGGTATGCTTCGCAAGAGTTGCTGCTGTGAGATGGGCTGGTGGGGATACGCGAAGCGTAAAGAATTTTAATCGTCTCATGTACGAACCTTGCGCAACGCACGCGCAAGCGATGTGGAGCCTGGCACAGGCCAAGAGACGCAGTGTCCGATATCAACTCCGTATACTGCTACACAGTGCATCAACAACCCATTCAAGATCCACGCAGTTGTGTACCCGAGGCCTTTCGGATGCGTCATGAATGCAACCTGGCCTAGTCCAAACAACGGAGCCTGTGACACACTGATACACATGCAATAACATACGTAGCAATAACGGGTTCACGCTGCGTGCTGCTCAAGCAGACAGAGCAGACGAGCTACGATTAGAAGCGGAACGAACAAACGAGGTATATTGAGAGCGCCTCCGCCTGCAGCAGGCGTGCCGACATCAGCAGCGCTGCGGCAACGACGGCTGCTCCTCTGCAGAATGCGGACTGCGAGAGGAGGATGCAAACATACATGAAACATGACGAAACAACATGATGGAATCTCCCCCCGCCGACTCAAGTGAATAAAATGACCGTGCCTGGGCACATTGAGGCGTGCTAGAAACCAATGTTTGAGCAGGGACCGACCGTCCCGGCATTCCTATAGGCCTACCACGACATGGTCTTAGAACACAACAATGTTCGAATAACAAAACCAATGTTCTTAGAACATAAACCCGATGTGACAGAACAAGACAGTCCCAGCCAGAAGTGTTCGAAGAACATTCGTGGAAGCCACACAAGGTTCTTAGAACATTGTTTGGTAGGCCTATAGGCACGCCAGGACGCTTCGCCACTGCTTGAAATGTAGCCACATGCTTTCTCAAGGAGACACCACCCCAGCCCCTGCGGGGGAAGCGGGTCCCAGCGATGGCACCGCCTCGGAAGGGCCACGACCGCCCCAAAGAACGAGCCTCAGTACATCCTCGACAGCCCCACGGACGGCCCTCCAGCAGACGGCCCACAGACGGCCGGCTCCCGTCAAGCCAACGTGCTCCCGAGGCACGAACTGGAGTGTCCTCAGTTCCTTTGTCCGATCCCCTGGAGCCTCAGTCCTCAATCCTGAGGCTGCCTTGAGATCTGCGGCGAGCGAGTGGGGGAAACGAGAAGGAGAAGGCCTTCTCAGAAGGCGGCGGGACTCCTCGGAAGCCCTCGCGCCTTCTGAAAAGCTTTCTCTGTCTTCGGGGAAGGTTCAGAAAACTTCTCAGAAGGCCGGGGACTTCCGAACCTTCTGAGAGATGCCTTCTCCTTCTCACTTCCTCCCCCTCGCACGTCGCCGATATCCATCTTCTCTTCCCCAGGAGGAGGAGGAGGAGGAGGAGGAGGAGGAGGAGGAGGAGGAGGAGGAGGAGGGAGGAGGATGAGGAGGAGGAGGAGGAGGAGGGAGGAGGGGGACCTTGTCGGGCCGAAGCGGGCCTCCTAGTGGGCCAAGCGTGCCCCCTAGAGGCCCCCGAAGAGGGCCCCGGATCGCTGAACGATCAGCCCAAGACGCCCACGAGGGCCTCCAGTCGGCCCAGGAAGCCTTCGAGGCGCCCCAGGGGACTTCCCAAGAGGACTCAGAGGGGCCAGCATAATCGATTTCGACGCTCTAAGACGGCCAAAGAGGCACCCAAGACCGCCCCAAGACGGCCAATAGGGCTCCAAGACGGCCCAAGAGGGCTCCAAGGCGGCCCCGGGGGCGCCCAAGACGGCTCAAGAAGGCCGAAAGACAGCCCCGAGGAGGGCCGAAAAGAGGAAGCACGAACCGAAAATCCAAGTCGTCCGCCCCAGGAGGCCACCAGGAGGCCCCAAGGAGGCCCCAAGACGCCCCCAAGATGCCCCAAGAGACCCCAAAGAGGCCCCCAAGACGCCCCTAAGAGGCCCCAACCTGGTCCCGAAGAGACTTCAAAACGGCCCCCGAGAGGCCCCCGAGAAGCCTCCCGCGACATTCCAACGAACATCCTGAAGGCCTCTGACCCACATTCCAGGCACAGTGGCGGAATCGGCCAAGGCCATTAGATACTAGCCGACAGAAGCACCTAGACCTCTCATGAACTCTGAGAGAAGTCCCCCAGAAGCCACACGGGGGCCTCAAGAGGCCCAAAGATGCTGGACGGCCCCTTGGGCCAATCAACCCTCCGGCAAGGGTCATCCATGGGATGGGACACGCCTCATACCCTGCCATGTTTGGCGTGTTTATGCTTCTGGTACGTTTCGACTCAACGTGAGCTCCAGGTGGCAAGACGCTTTGAGGAGAGAGGAGGGAGTAGGGAGGAATATGAGGACGATGAGGGATGAGGAATGAAGAGTAGAACGACGCTGGGGTCAAGGAGGGGTTTAAGACCTGCACCAATGTTGCCACGGCGCTGAATTCGAGCGGGCCGTAAACTTCTGCCCCTCATCCTCCTTGCTGCGCTGATGCTCTGCTGCGTTGGCAGGGTGGTTGGCTTTGCCGCAGGCAGCTAGATAACTAACCCTCCAGAGTTCCAGGACACCACGCTGCTGGCACACACTGGCGAATCCCTAAGGTCCAAAACATCGTTTGGGGGGGTATTCGGGCTCGCCAACGCACCCCCCGAGACTCCAGAGCTTCAAAATCTGCCGCCCGTGGCCTCAAAGACGTTCCAAGAAGGTCCCGAATCGCTGAACGATGGGCCCACGACGCTAACGATGGCTCCAAGACGCCTTCGAGACGCCCCAAGAGCCTTCCCAAGAGGGTCCCGAGAGGCAAACATGAACTGTTTTCCGCTGGATGCTTCGAGGATGTTGGTGTTTTCGCCTTTTCTGTTTTCCGACGCTCCAAGACGACCCGAGAGGCCCAAAATAGACCCCGAGGACAGCCTTGGGGCTTCCTGGGGGCCCCTTGGGGGCCTCTTGGGGCCTCTTCGGAGGCTCTTGGGAACCTCCTGGGGCCTCCGGGGGCCCCGTCGGGGCCGGTTTGGGGCCCTCTGGGGCCGGCTCGGGGCTCTCGTGGAGGTCTGCCGGGCCCGTCTTGGGGCGACCTTGGGGGCCTCGTGGGCCGTCTTGGAGCGGCGGGAAGCCGACAAAGGAGGACTCAAGAATCCCCCACAAACCAACGGAACGTCAACGAGACGCCCCAAGCAGCGCCCAAGGCGGCCAAGAGGGACCCAAGGCGGCCCCGAAGGCCCCGGCCACAGTAAGCCCCAAGAGGCCCCCCAGGAGGCTCCAAAAACGGGCCGCAAGACGCTTCAAAACGGCCTCCAAGAGGCTCCGCCAGGCCCCAAAAAGCAACAAAAGTCCCCAAACCCAAGACAGATCCCAAGACGCTCCAAAACTGCCTCCAAGAAGCTCCGCCAGGCCCCAAAAAAGCTCCCGAGACGCCCACCAAAATCCCCAGACAGTGCCCAAGAAGCCCACGACGCCTCAACCGTGGTCCCCCCGCCTCTTCTAGGGGTCCGTCTCTTGAATAACATCTGGGAGTGCCAGGGCGCGTGGATTGTTGTCGCAAAGGCCATGCTGAAAGCAAAGTGAGACCCTGGTGCAATGCCGCATGAAAACAAATGGCTACTTGAATACGATCATGCACATTGCCGTTCGGCTTCCACGCCTACATTGGCTCATGCTTATCCGCCACCGTGCCCTTGGTCACGAAATGGGTGCGTCCTCTAAATCTGTGCCTACTCCTCTGTGCCTCACGGAGATTCTTGAAGGGACCCCGACCTCTCGCTCTCAAATCTCTCGGGGCTTCCGTGTCTTGCCGCGTCTTGTCGCGTGACATGTTCGGAGCCAAGAGGGCCCCAAAACGGGTCAAGAAGACTCCAAAACGTCCCCAAGACAGTACAAGAGGGCCTGGAGTCGCCAAAAGATCTTTCCAAGACTGCCAAAGAAGTCGTCAGAAGATCGCATCAAAATGGCTCAAGAGGCCTCCAAGACGTCGCAACAGGCCTTCAGAAGGCTTCCCAAGAGGGCCCCAAGAGGCAAACAGCATCGATTTTCCTCAGGTGTTTGAGGGAGTTTGGCGTTCTCGCCTTTTCTGCTTTCCGACGCTCCGCGACGACTCAAGAGGCCCCCAAGACCACTCCAAGACGGCCCAAGAGGTCCCTAAGAGGGCCCCAAGACGGCCCAAGAGGACTCCGAGGCCGCCCCGGTGGCGCCTAAGACGGCCCAAGGAGGCCCAAAGACAGCCCCCAAGAAGGGCCGAAAAAGGGAACACGAACCGAAAATCCAAGCCTTCCGCCAGAAGAGGCCCCCAGGGGGCCGCAAGCTCGCCATCGCTCGGACGTCCATTCCCTGTGTTTTTTTCGGTTTCGTGCGTGTTTTTTTCGCCAATTGATCAAGGATGCTCCTCGATGGTCCGTCCCCACCGAAGAAAAAATACACGTCCGAGCGATGCCAAGCAAGAGGCACCCAAGAGGCTCCCAAAAGAGGCCCCTAGAGGCCCCCGAGCTGCCCCCAGGGAGGTCTCAACACTGTCTCCGGGAGGCCCCCGAACGACCTCCGACGAGATCCCACAACGAACATCCAGTAGGCTTCATACCCACAACCCGGGCACGGTGGCGGGATGGGCCGAAGGCCATTGCATATGTATGAGAATAAAGGAAAAGCATGAAAACCCTGCTGTCTCCTCCCTTCTCTCATCTCCCTACTCCAGGTCCTCCCCCTCTACATTCCACCCTCCTCTCCACATTGCTCTGCCCCCACCCCCATGCGCCACCCATGTACCAGATAAAACAGAAAACGACAATCCGCCGACTCCCCCCTTTAAGTCCACCAAGCGTGCAGACTGCCTTAGTGCTTACTCTCCTTTCCTTCACGGTGATCCCAAAGTGCAGACGGCCCTATGGTAATCATATGGGAGACTTCTTGAGAGGTGGCCGAAGGAACTCGCAGCTGTACGCTCATTCGTTTGTGCACTATTCCACTGGCAGCCCGGTATGAATCCCAAGAAACAATCAATAAGTTTGCTTTCAGCAGTCTCCACAACGTGTCTGGACAAGAGGTCCCCACATGTACCCGGCACGGCAAGACCCCAATGATGCGCAAGATGGAAAACGCAGCAAGTACAGTCGGGGCGTTGACCTAAGGAACCCTAAATAAGGAACGAGGCCCTTTTGTTCCATAAATTAACCTTGGATTTCCGGTCGAACACATAAGGAAAGCCTGAGGCAAGCTGTGAAACACTTAAGGAATGCGGAGCCCCTCCCCAACGAAAAGGGTTCCTTCTTCAGGGCCCGGACTGTAGTCCATGGTTTCTTCTCACCCTTCTCGCCTCCAAGTGGCCTCAGAAGGCCCCAAGACAAACCAAGGGTGTCCGATAACAGCAAGCATTGCTGAAGACGAGCGCAGCAACCCCCCTCATACATTCCCCTTGAGTACCGAAGAGACCCTGAAAAGACCCGTGAGTCATGAGATAACCAGAAGAACGCAAGAAGGCTCATACTCGACTGATTGGCCTGTCAACACGGGTGCAATACGATGCGGATGCCCATGTATAATTCTCGCTTGATGTGACACAACACTCCCGACATTGCTGCTACATGAAGTAGAAAGATGCCCTAACGCAATCCGGCCCCCGAATCCTTTCCGGCTCATGGACATCGCTACGGTTCGATGGGATGGATAACCTCTGCCCTTCCGTCTCGACGATGCGTGACTTGACGCTGCCCGCATCTACTTCAATCCCGCCAGAGACTCGGCTTTGTGTTATGCAGCCAGGACTCGATGCTTGCGTCAGTCCCACACTTCGGGCGGATAAATATTTGTAAACACATCGTTGTTGGATCCTTTGTGTCATCGTGACGCCAATTTCTGGCCCTGGGCCGTCAAACATTGCTGAGGATGGAAAGCCCACCCTGGGGACGGGATCGAGAGGTCCTGGTGCCCATGTCTCAAACACCGAGGCGGTGGATTACTGGGCAATGTTATCCGAATGTCAGCGTAGACTCGCTCCATTATGCTCGTGATTCAATTCCAGCTCACTTCTTGAAATATAAGGATCATGAGGGATCAATTACAAATCTCTGGACTTCACTCGCCTTCCAACCCCAACTACTGCAGAAACACTATGACCGATGCCCGAGAAGATAGAGAGAGAGAGAGAAACAAAAACAAAAAGAGCGAGAGAGAGAGAGAGAGAACGATGGGGGGGACACAGACACCAGCACCTCAGCGCGACGCGGGATCACGATCCTGGCCCTCCCTTCTCCGCCAGTGCCGCGATGCACGAGCTGGAGTGTCCCCAGTCAGATCCCTTTCGCCTCCAGTCTTCAGGAGGGGCCCCAGACGCCAAATAGACTGATTCTCTGGGGACCCAGATTTGTCTTGTCTCAAAGTACCTTGTGTTTCCAGTCTTGTTAAAGGGCCCCAGACGCCAATACACGGATTCTCTGGAGCTTGCCGCGCGTCCCCACGTGACTCTTCCAGAGGCAGGATGGCTCCAAGGTGGACCAAGGAGGGCCCACGAAGCCCCCAAGAGAGGCCAGGAGAGCTGGACGCCCACAATGGCCGCAAAACCGCACAAGAGGCCACTCGCCATCGCTCGGACGTCCATTCCCTGTGTTTTTTTTTCGGTTTCGTGCGCGGCTTTTTCGCCAAATGATCAAGGATGCTCCTCGATGGTCCCCACCGAGGAAAAAATGCACACGTCCGAGCGATGCCAAGCCCAAGAGGGCTCCAAGAAGACCCCCAAGAAGACAAATGACTGCTCTGCACTACTTTTTATTTTTTGAAATCTTGTTGCGTTTCGCATTTCGGGCCGCCGACGCTCCAGGACGGCCCACTATAGTCCCCCCACATCGCCACTCAAGACGCCTCAGAGAGGGCCACATGTCGGGGGCGCGCAAACACGGATTAGCGATCCATGGACGTGGCGCGCGGTCGCCAAATCCATGGATCGGGGGAGGTGCCCTCCCCAAAGTGCGGCCGGTGCCGCCTCGCTCGGCGGCGGCAATCCGCGATCTCCCATGGAGACGGGACCCGTCGCTAATCCACGCCCCCTCAATCCATGTTTGCGATCGCCTGAAATGATGGCCCAAGAGGGCACCCCAGCACGACCCAAGCGGCCCCCAAGACTGCCCAAAGAGGTCCCCAGGGGGGGGGAACCAAGACGGGGAACTCGAACTGACACTTGGAGAGCCCTGCGCCCCAAGCGGGCCCCGAGACCGGCAGCAGACCCCCTGGAAGGCCCCCAAGAAGTCCCACGAGTGCCACGAGAGTCCCAAGACCAAGGAGTTCCATGATGCCCATGATGCCCATGACTTCCATGACTCCCAAGAAGTCCCATGAGTCCCAAGAAGTCCCATGAGTCCCCCGAGAGGCCCGAACGAGGCCCAAGGGGCCCCCAAGAGGTCCCCTAGGAGGCCCCCGCTCGCCCCAAAACAGCCTCCAAGAGACTCCAGAGAGGCCTTCTACGGGATCTCCGCAGCGCGGTGGCGGGATGGGCCGAAGGCCCCTAGATCCGCCGCCCCCTGCTTGCAGGGGTGCACGGCGTGCTGGACGTTTCAGGTTTTGGTTTTGGTTCTTTTTCTAAAAGAACTCCCCAGTGGGCTTCGGCCCGTCCCGCCGGCCACCCGCAAATTTCCCAAAATCCATCTGTCAATGCCCAAAAACGGCCGTTTCGCTCGGGACATCCTCAAAAAATCGCGAAGATGGCCCAAGATGGCCTCCAAGTCCGCCCGAGATGGTCCAAGACGGCCTCCAAAACGGCCCAAGAGAGTCCAAGACGGCCCAAGACGGCCCAAGAGGCCCCCCAGAGGCCTCCCAGACGGCCCAAGAGGCCTCCAAGAGGTCCTCCAGGAGAGTCCGAAGAGGCCAAAATCATTGATTTTCCATTGGTTTTTGAAGGATTTTGGCATTTGCGCCTTTTCGGCTCTCCGACGGCTCAAGACGGCCCAAGAAGCCCCCAAGATCGCCCAAGAGGCCCCCAAGAGAGCCCCATGATGGCCCAAGTGGCCTCCAAGATGGCCCCTAGAGGGCCCCAAGAGGGCCCAAGAGGCCTCCAACACGCCCAAGATGGCCTCCAAGACGCCCAAGATGGCCTCCAAGACGGCCCTGGAGCATTCCAAGCGGGCCCCAAGTCGGCCCATAGAGGCCCCCCAAACGGCTTCCGACGGCTTCAGACGTGCCAGGAACCCACCAAGATGGCCGAAGTTGGCTCGAAGCTGGCCCGAGACGGCCCAAAAAGCCCCAAAGATCGCCCAAAGCTTGCCCAAGAGGCCTCCAAGACGGCCAAGATGACCTTCAATATGCCCACGTGTTCCCCGAAGGCTTTCCAAACCGATTCGGGGAACACGTGGTCCGATAGCTTGGCAGGTCTGGCCTCAACGTTCGGCCACATAGGCGCTTCCAAAAGGCAGGGGGCGGCGGTGATTCGCCGTAGGCGTCTTCGATCCGCCGCCCCCTGCTTGCAGGGGTGCACGGCGTGCTGGACGTTTCAGGTTTTGGTTTTGGTTCTTTTTCTAAAAGAACTCCCCAGTGGGCTTCGGCCCGTCCCGCCGGCCACGCGTAAATTCCGAAAATCCGTCTGTCAATGCCCAAAAACGGCCGTTTCGCTCGGGACATCCTCAAAAATCGCGAAGATGGCCCAAGATGGCCTCCAAGTCCGCCCGAGATGGTCCAAGACGGCCTCCAAAACGGCCCAAGAGAGTCCAAGACGGCCCAAGACGGCCCAAGAGGCCCCCCAGAGGCCTCCCAGACGGCCCAAGAGGCCTCCAAGAGGTCCTCCAGGAGAGTCCGAAGAGGCCAAAATCATTGATTTTCCATCGGTTTTTGAAGGAGTTTGGCATTTGCGCCTTTTCGGCTCTCCGACGGCTCAAGACGGCCCAAGAAGCCCCCAAGATCGCCCAAGAGGCCCCCAAGAGAGCCCCATGATGACCCAAGTGGCCTCCAAGATGGCCCCTAGAGGGCCCCA